TACACTTCAACAAAACTGAGGACAAAAGACAGGTTTCAAAAGCTAAAAATAGTTTAATTTTGAGTGTCTACTATTGGGTCAAACTCCAAAAACGCCGGATTCATCCTGCAATTCCAGTGATGCAGTGAAAACTCAGCAGTTTTCTGGTTACACTCAGTCATGTTCAGAAGAGCCATTGTGACTTTTTGGTCAAAAGCGAGTTCAATCTTTAAGCAAAAATAAGACATATGAAATAAGGCAGTCATCTGAAATGCTATAATCCATAATATCTGACCTGAGAAAGCAGAAGATGTGTCTCTCTTATTAGTACCTGTAAGGTTTGATGATCTTCTCGCCGTATTTGATAGCTCCTTCTGGGTCTTCCATGTAGAGACAAACCCCCATGGCCTGGTACATCATGTGGAGCATGTACACGTTGGCGTCATCAAAGATTGTTCCCATTTCCTCCAGGCTCTGTTCACACATCTCCAGCAACTCACTAGGGGGTGCCACCGAGTCAAGGCTGCATCGACACAAGTCAGTTGGGCTTCTGATCATATAACCGCATGCTTTGGAGGCGTTGCTTTGCTGAATAAATAAAGTTTTGTTCTCTAACAATCAGTCTATATGCCAGCAGTCAGCTGAATCAGCACTGAACTGTTCAAGCTGATGTTTCCTACAGCCAACCTTGAGCTCGTTCTGAAAAACAACATGTAAAAATGACATTTATTGCCACTAAAGGATATTTTTTATGTGTTTGGACGTCCGGAACTCTCTGATAGCTTTCCTGGCGTAGCGCACCATGTTGCTGATGACGTCCGGCTCGATGGGGTCGCGTCGCTTACGCACTTTCATCTTGGCCTTGTCCTACAGGTGAAGGCCGGAGACAGAGCAGGACAGAAGCTACACATGAGAGCACTTCAGAAAGTTTCTCAGCCTCACCAAAAAACAGAAAAATCCCGAAAGAGAGACCGTTTTTCCATCACAGTCTCCTTAAACGTCAATGCACTCAGCCCACCGATGCTCTGGTCACATCTCGAGATGCTCCTCAACAGCATGCATGACTTCATCATCTAAAAATGCGATTCAAAGCCACCTGAGCCTTCCTGTCCTTTTTTTCTTTGATTGCTTCACACATTTGAGGTTTTGTGTACAATGACGTGAGGCTTTACAGTACACGGTTACGTCCTTGTTGCATCTTTCTGAAGCACCCTTGCAATATGTAGGATAAAGCATTTTTCAGAGTGCCCCCACCACAGTAATACACATCATTTAGCCCGTCCTCGCTCCCTTCACTGCTCATTGGCTCTTACTTTGGACTTGGATTTACATTCCTGGCATTCACAGCTGAAGTAGTAGTTCTCTCTCAGCCTGCTGTTGCGGTCGTCTGTCGGATAGAGGATGTCTATGTAGCTGATGAGCACCTGAAAGACACGCAAACACACATTCACAACAATCTCTCGCCTCGATAGCTGCTAAAACACACTTCTATCAGCTGCTCCTTTTAAACCACACGAGACGACACAACGCTCCTCTGCCGCTGTGACACGCTGACAAGTCATTGACCGGATGCATCGACATGTTCTCCAGCAGGTTTCTTTTTAAAATCCAAAGCTTTTCAAATGACTGATCCTATAAGCTTGTACGCTCTTTTGCACAGAGTTTCCACACGGATTAAACAACCAAAGTGTAACATGTTCACCTGTGATTTATAGGGATATTGGTTGGTGGATTTTGCTACCTTAGCCGGAGTAGCTGTGTTCATTTGTTTCCAGCATTCATGCTAAGCTAACTATCCTCTAGATCAGGGGTGTCAATCTCAAAAACACAGTGGGCCAAAATTTAAAACCTGAACAAAGTCGCGGGCCAACATTGAACAAATGAACCTCTTAATATGGACCGAAACAAATTTTACTTTAACATTGAATATGGAAGAAGCAACACTTATTACCATACATTATATATAACTTAATATGCAAAATCAAATTATAAATAAAAAAACACATCAATGGCACAGTGACAGTTGTAGTGTGAAGTCGCTATGCCCACTGTCACAGAGGAGAGGGAGTGTCTGGGTCCTGTCCTGATTGACGCGCCAAAACAACAACAGGGCATTATGGGATTTGCAGTATTAGCGGTGAATGCGCTGTACAGTATAATACCGGGGGCAGCTCTCGTAGTCATTTGGTATTGTCTCGCGGGCCAAATATAATTACAAAGCGGGCCAAATTTGGCCCGCGGACCAGAGTTTGACACCCCTGCTCTAGATGTATAATCAGTGGATAGACATGAGTGGCATCTATCTCCTCATATAACTCCAAGAACAAATCAGGCTCTTTACATTAAGATCAATCACTTGATCCATTCCACATAAAACATGAATTATTCTTTACTAGTATACAGTTCGGTTCCACGCTTCCTCCTTCACACACACTTCAAATTAAAAGAAAAAAAAAAAAAAGACCAACACACGACACCCTCTGATGGCAGCTTCCTCACTTCATCTCCAGGTTTCATGTCCTGCACTGCCCGGATCTCAGCCGACGTCCCCTTGTACGTGACGATGACGCTGGGAAGACAGCTGTGGTTTATGAGCGCCACGCTGTTGGGAGACACAGATTCCAAGAGAGAGTCAGAGATAGAACAAAAATAATCCTCTCCGCTTTCCCTTTTCTTACAATGGCTGAGGTGGGAGTAGTGACACTGATTATTGCTCACAGCAATGACATAACAGCTTTATGTTTAGGTGGTATTAGCGCCGTGCTACAACAGAGAAGTGTTGAGTGTCCCTGAACTATGCTGGCGACCTTGGTGTTACCTGGGTGGCACGCTGGAAATAGCTCGACAAAGAGCTGAGAGGGCGAATTCACTTTCACGGAGTCAATTTTAAAACTCAATAGCCTGGGCCGCAGCAGGGGGCGGATTTCACCACCAAATGACTAACTGGACAAGAACTGTTATCTTAATGGAACTGACAATCAGGCCCCTTTGGATGTTTGGTGGATGCTGAGCTTGCGATGCAAACTGTGCTGATTGTAGGACAGAATTCATGCAATTTGCCTTGAGAATAGTTCTGTTGTTACTGCTTCCTCTATGATTTCCTCAAGATCAGTGACTGGAATCCCAAATTACCCAAAATAAAACAAACAGATATCCGAAGAAGCCAAGACTGACAAACAGTGAGATGCTGTGAACCATGAGGCGGGATTTGTCAGACAGGGAGGGTGTCATATACTGAGCCTTTACATGAGCTGCAGAACCTGCACTACACTAATAGATTGTATTCATAAGCATGCATGCAAGGTTTTCTTCTTACTCTGGGTAGATTGCAGTACCCATGTGGGACAGCTCATCATCCTCTATTGTGAAACCATTACAGGCAACCTGTTGGACGAAGCACACGGCAGACAGAGAAAATAAAGTTACTCAGCTCAGACGACAAAAAGAAGAAACACTTAAAATCCTGCTGCTTTGCCATTTATTTGTCAATGTGTGTGTGGTACCTGGGAGAAGAGCGTGAGCAGGTCTTTGTGCTCGGGCACCTCCAGATGTTTGGAGTAAAAGCGATGCAGTCCGGCCAAGTCTGCCTCGTTCATCTCTCTTCTCTCGTTATCTTCGTCTTCCACGTCTGTTACAGTCAGACAGACATTTTGACCTCGTTAGATTTTTCAGATGGGCCTTTTTCTTGACATTTGATTTCACCGGTTAAGGCTGCATGCTCTTTTTTCTGCAGCTGTTTTCCCTTGCCTTAGATAGTCATGGAATGAGCCAGTTTAAATTTACTGAAATTAAATATCATGAGCAGTCAAACAGCGCAGCAACAACTTGCTCAGTGATCAGTAAAAGTAACAGGGGGGAGATAGCCTTCAGTTTGTGGTGGTAGTCTCATCAGTCATTGTTGACACCATATCAAGAGCAGAGGGGAGGATGAGAGCCTCAGCTGTTGGATGTGGTTTCCTGTGATTCTGTTACAGGGCTCCAGACTAACTTTTCCAGTTGTAGCTCTGGTGCTACCAACTTTCTTCACTGGTCGCACCAGCTAATGATCTGGTCGCCCCACTCCCTTATTTTGGATCAACACTGCCACAGCTATTAATCCACCATGCAGCTGATGAATGATTGTTTTTGCATAACTTAGTTATGATGCAATGACCTTCAGTGATACAAAACTAGATATTTGTAAAATGTTTTAACCTTAAAATACATTTATTTTGTCACCAATCCTCTTCTAATACTCGTCATTATCTGGATACAGTCTAAAAAATCGCTGAAAGTGCCCATGGGTAGAAGCTACGTTTTACTGATGTTCCCTAAATGCCTCACATGCTGCTCCGGCAGATGTTACATTTTACCGATGTTCCCTAAACGCCTCACATGCTGCTCCGGTAGATGCTACATTTTACCGATGTTCCCTAAACGCCTCACACGCTGCTCCGGTAGATGCTAACATTTTACCAATGTTCCCTAAACGCCTCAGGTTCTACCAGGTGTGTTCAGTGCAGTGTCTCTGACAGGTGAGTGAGCAAACATTTGTTGGAAAACAGAGGAAAGTGAGTTCTACACTAATTTGCTGAAGTTGAAAAGTTTTCTATGAGCAGAGTTTTTAGCAGAGTATTTATTCATTTGTTTACACTGCCCCGGGGGTCAGACGTGCCCCAGTGTTTGAGAAACACTGGTTTATGCCAACTGTCACATGGGTGTCGTAAAGAAAGAACACAATTCAATTTGTGGCAGGACTCTAGGGATGCAAAATCATCTTTGTAATCAATAATCAGTAGAGATATAAATCAGTAGTTAATTCACTGATAATACAAATTGATCACAGTAAACATCTGTCTTCTGCTCGTATTGTAGTTTTAGCTGGTTGGCTAATTGTTTGGGATATTGGGATATGCAAATGCTGTCCTAGACAATCCCAACTAAACCAATGAGCTCTGGCCACTAAGTGTCTTGTCATGGTGGCTCATAGCTAGCTAAACCCTCACAGTGCTCTCTGCTTGCCAACATGAACCCTGTCCATACTGTTAGTGAGGCCTCCTCAGATCACTACATCATTAAAGAGCCTCCACTTGGTGGTGCAACAGTAGCGAATCTACAACACATTTTCAGACATGCATACAGAGAACACCGTCCAGCCTCTTGACACTACATTTCAGACAGCGCCTGACCAGAGCTGACCGTCTACGTAACATTTAAGAGCAGCTTGGATGTAGAACTACACTTAATGCATTAGAGCTGCTCAGTCATCAGGCATATACCTTGGATTGATTTTAATTGTTTTCATGTACTTGACGTATGTTATCTAGGAAAATGGTTTCAGATTTGGACTCAGATATTAAATCACTCAGACAGAATCGGGGCATCAAGTTTCCATAATTTACTTTAATATACGACATTACAATTATTGCTGGTGAAGCGGTCAGACAGTGACCAAGTCAAACATGTTGGCCTGAAGTAGCCATTTTGTCTTAACCCAAATGAAGCTCTGGTCTGGAGCATTCTTTGGTAAAATGATGTTGCACTCTGGCCTTTATGCAGATGTTACCACCACCCATCCATTGTGGCAGACAGACAGCGTGAGGAGCAGGACAAAGAGCCCAAAAGGCATTGACTCGGCCTCCAAAGTCCCCAAATCTCGAGCCAATCAAGCATCTGCGTGACACACTGAAACAATCCACAGCGCCCCATTCAGTAGGCAAACACAGGAGACCCTCTGGAGGTCCTGAGTCCACACCCAGATGGGTCAGAGCTGTTTTGATGGCATTAGGGGGACCTACACAGTATTAGTGTCCCGGCTCATTGGTGTTTATCTTGAAAATCCACTGTCAGTCTAGACACAATCCAAACCAAACACCAGACAGTCGATCAGCCACTCTGACTCCTGATTTCTGGTTTAGACAAATTGTCCTCTTGGTTTATACACTTAATCTCTTGTGGCTGTAAATTGACAAGGTACAAACAGCCAACCCTCCGTCCTCACTCCGACTGTGCCAAGACAGGAATACATTTCACCACGTAGCCTGCCAGACTGTGTGTGTCTTATCCCTGATCTCTGACACTGCAGTCAATTTATCCTCGCACATCAGACGCTAATAGAGACTCAGCATTTTAAAGACAAGCTGATTTTGTCAGATACGGATCGAAGTCTCACTCGAGCTCCGGCGCGCTGACAAAGCTGTGTGTTGCCGTGCACTTCTCCTGGCTGCTGGTTGGAAAACACTGCGCAGTGTTTACATGATTTCTTTTTCCCAACTTCACTGACAGTCGGGTTGAAGGTGTGTTGTGCTTGTAGGAGCTAATCCAGCCTCCAGCTGCTCGCCACAAGCAGAGATGCGGAGCGCTTCACACCCACAGATTTTTTTTTTTATCATTTCCAAACTTTTAGTCTTCGGTCCCAATCGATGCAGACATGTGTGATTCCACTTGAGGCATTTAACAGATTTTGTGTTTCTCCCTCTGGAGCCATAAAAGGCTTTATACAGGTTTTTTTTTTTCCCCCCACATATGAAGCAGTGCTCGGTAAGACTGGTAAATAGTTCCCCTTTGCCATTCACAAAATTGCCTTGATGTTGCTTTTTTGTGCCACTTACCCCACATACTACATATGTATGTATTTGTATTTTTAATGTCAGAAAATGTAAGAAAATATATGACAGCTATTAGGAAAACTCCATCCCAGACCAACCTGACAAGCCGGCGCTGTGTGCGAAAGTGCCCAAAGTGCCCCAGCTTCCCATTCAAGTACTTACACTTGCTGTGTTGTCTGAACACCATTTGACCCACATCTATAGGATATATATAGCTACTGTTGGAAGTGTTTCTCCTCTGGTCTCCATGTGTGGTTTCTAGGGTATCTAAGGACACATAGGACTGCAGTACAACCTCTATGACGTCTTTATAACGTATCTCCACGGGCGCCTTCCAGATGGGGTTTATTTAAAAGCCAACTCACAACAAAAATCATGCTTTTGTGGCCGCGTGGTAACGATTACTCACGTGATTGCACGTCTCCTATGAGCAAGAGCTTCTCAGAGACACATCTTTCCTTCTGCGTTTTCTGCAGTGAATAGGAATAATTTAGACGAATGACCTTAATGCGACACGGCGTGTGCCAGACAACACTCCAGAAATACACGCCGTTTTACTGACTGTCCAACCTTCTTGGCGAGGATCCGGGCCACCAGTCGGGACATCTCAGACGGGCACCAGTTCTCTCCAAATGCAAGCATTGCTGAACACTCCAGCTTGTGCATGGCCCAGTCCCCTTTCTGCACACAAACGTAGACAAATGTTATTATAGCATGCAAAACAGCAGAGCTTTAATTTAAAGCTAATTGAAATGTGAGAATCTTCAGCTGAGGCAACTATTGACAGTTTGTGTCCCACCCCAACAGAGGGCCCAACAGTTGGCAACTCCCAAGCAACCCTACCAGCTGTAGAATTAAGCAGCACGCTGGAATGTCCACACTGTGCTTATCTAATGTTACCCTCGCCCCTTTACCCCTCACATGCTGTCCCATTCACTGACTGCGTAGTTCTCTAACTTCACAAACCACATCGTGTGTGTTGACTTTATATATTCCATAGACCTATATATTACACACATATAGAACTGCATAAACCAACCAGTGATAGCTTGTACTCCTATGTTCAGCTGAACTGCATGTTTTTGGACCAGGAAGTCAACCGTAGCACAGAAAAGCTCGTTCAAACTGATTTCTTGTTGCTGTAAGGCACATCAACCATCCATACACTCCTCCTCTATGTGTTCTTCCTGTATTATGGAACTCAGGTTTACTTGTAATGGCACCAAAATAAAATATATCAAACCGCCTGTGGTTGGTTCACACCAGTACAATCACAAGGCAAACGAATAATGTGGAATAAACTTTGAACAATACAGAGTTTTAGCTTGGTGTTGTGACAAGACAGAACATGTAGACTTAACATTAAAGGTCCCACATCGTGTCTCCTTCCTGCCACTAACTGGAAGTCTCACGCCTCACGGAATGTGTCCACCAAGATGGTTCATTCCACCGTGACCGCATGAGCTCTGGTTCTGGTCCTGTTCTAAAGCTTTTGTGTTTGTAGCTTTAAAAGTAGCTGCTGCTGTCCACGCCCGCTTCAGGAAGAAGACTCTCTCTGTGTCTGTGATTGACAGCTGCTTGGAAATGCTTCTGAAGCGACTGCTGATTAACTTTTAGTCTTAACGAGCTGCGTTTCAGTCACTATTTCATTCTCTTGTCTGACAACAGAAACAAGAAAATATGTAAATGAGAGCAGCTTCACTGAGGATTGGCTCACCTGGAGGCAGTGGGCCGCAAAGAATTACACCAAGTTTGAGCTCATTGACTTTTGGTTCTGAAACGTAACAGTTCAGAAAATTCTGGCTATCTAGTTGTGAGGGGACAGAAGGAAAGACTTTCATATCCTATTTTTCTTTACACCTGGAAGTTTCTAACAACAAAGCACAATGAGAATGGAGCATGCACCATATGGGACCTTTAAACTCTGTTGGCTTCACTCAGAATTAGCTGCACTGTGAGCTGCATGCTGAGTGACAGGAAGCAAGTAGATGGATTTCAGGAGGTTTAGTATCATGACTTTATTTGATCTGTTGGATAAGACTTTGATCACCAGTGTCCAGCATGAAATTCGTAACCAAATGTCATCTCAACCTGTATAATTGTTGAGATATCTAACTAATCCAGTTGCGTGCATACAGCAGCTGTTGTAAATATAACAGAGTCACTGCTTTACAGAAGTCATTGTGTTCCCATGTCTCCTACCTGGCATTTCGCATTGCAGTAGAAGGCTTTCTTGCACTTCCCACATCTGGCCAAGCCCTCTTTCCTACACACGACAGGGAAAAAACACGTCATTACCTTTTGCATGGCAAGTAGGTTGTCATGAAGAAGTCAGTGACAGACCTTCACACATCCTTGTACGTGATTATGTTCATAAAGAAACAACATTAAAACATCTCACATCAGACTCTGCATGCCCGCATCCCGCTGGGCACCGCAGACACCATCTTGTGAATGTATCTGGACATTCAAGCGTCCCGCTCCATAACCCTCGAGACAAGGAAGAGCAGTTGCTAGCGTCCTGCCGTAACTGATAGCAATGAAGGGCTTTGAAACATTCTGTGGTATTTATAGAGCTGACCTTATGCAGGACCAGCTGTCTTTCTAACACACTGAAACAGGAAAGCAATCCAAAAGTCGAGCCATTTGATTCTGAGACGCTTTCTGACTCAAGTCCAAGGTGGCTGCTGGGCGGTTGGGGCGGGCAGCGGGGAAACATGGAAAACTGTGGATATTGTAAAGTCCAGCTGTAACTCTGACGTCTACCACAAGGACTGATTTAAAACCTCTAAGACTGTGTACAGCTCAGCACATCAGCAGGAACGTAGACACATTATTTTAGAATGCAACTTTAGTACCTTCTGATTAAGAGCTGGATTAAACGTCTGATTATCATCAACACCTCAAGAAATCTAAAAATGCTCTTGTAGGAAGTGTATGACTGCAATACGTCGAACTGTCTCCAAAGGCAGCGTTTAAAACTTGAAACTCAAAATATCTCCTTGTTCTATTGTTCGACCAGATTGTGCTCAGTTCTCTGAGACTGACAAGGTCAAGGTCCTGGAGCTGTGAACCCCAACAGACTTACAACCAGACCACACTGTTGAGCAAGAGGCCCTCCACAGGAACGATTTTTTTTATAGCTGTTGCATACAAAGAGTTCAAAGATAGAGTTTTGTTTGCTGTACAGACTCTAAAGGCATTTGTTGAGCTGTATAAATCAAACCGGTTTAACTCGACTCTTGCAGTTTATCAGATTTAAATGCCGTTTAAAGTGGACAAACTGCAGCTCCAGTGTGCATCCACGACAAACCTCGCAGTACTGCCACAGCTAGACTTCAGCTGATTGCACACCACAGGGAGTTGTTGTTGTACAACGGCACAAATGTGAACTGCTGCTAAAAGTGTGATGACATTTAACATGGCATTGCTGCTGCAGATACTGTAGATGCTTTCTTAAGCAGCGGAACCAACAGTTGTGTCAATGCCAACGCCTTGCAGGTTATGTTGTACAGAGCGGCAGTAGACAACGCTGTCATCATGATATGTGGGAATAATTACAAACTTTGATGGCATCCAGGCAGGAGGAAGAGGAAATAAGAGGAAATACCGAGGGAGTCCCTGAATGAATGCAAGAAGCAGGTTGGATGGAAACGCTTTAGGGTAAAACTAATGTTGTTATTGGGTGTGAAGTTTAGTATTTTGGTTTTGCGTTTACTCTTTCTACATGATCACTTCAGCTGTGAACAGCATGTGCCTGAAAAAGAGACTAATTGTAATTATATTATTCAGTCTCCTCATTAATCACAATTACATCCATTCAACAATTTACTGTTATTTTACACATTTTTTTTTCTGTTATATTTCAGATAATGACGCGTGAAATCACAGAAATAAGGTGTTGATTTACATGTTGACCTCTAAAAACGGCCCAAAGATGTAAATAGTGACGATCTCAGAATCGGCGTTTGTACAAATAGTAATTTGTTCCTTCCCAGCATTTGACTGCAGAATTACACATTTAATTTACTGTATTTACATTAGTCAAAAATATAATTATTTAAAAAAATATTTGCTTTACTTTAAAACCAAAAACATTTATATTAAGGATTTGAAATATTATATATAAATAATATAAAAAACAAGCCAAAGCTTTACAATGTTTGGCTGGAAAACTATACTATTTTTACTGAATTTAAATCAGCTGAAAATATAATTATTTTACAGATATTTGCCATTAAATTGAAAGTAAAAGTTTTGTTAAATTACAGATGATCACAGTAAAATCACAAAAAAAGTTAGAATTTGTTGATCATAAAAATTAAATAAGAATAGAAAAATTCCACATATTCAGTATTTTTACCAATGGAAATTCATTCTTTTACAACATTTGACTGTAATATTACATTATTTTTCCTGTATTTATATCCGCCAAAAATATAATCATTTTACAGATATTTACCATTATTTTTTTTAAAAAGTACATTAAGTTAAAAATGTGAACATTTTTTGAAAGTTAAAGTTATTTTAAACATTTTCCCTGTTTTGTTAAATTCCAGATACTGTCTAGTAAAACTGCAGGAACAAAGTATTAATTTACATGTTTCCTGTACACAAATAAAGAAGCTGTAAATAATGTCCAGTCAAAAATCTGTATTCTTATCAATAGTATTTTTTATTTATTTATTTATTTTACAACTTTTTCTTTAACACTGTAAAATTACCCTTTGATTCTGTTTAAATCAGCTGTGTGTCATTATTTTTCCAATATTTGCCATTAGTTTACCAAACTTCTTAAAAACCACAGAATAACACCATTTTAATTTATTGCCTGCAGATTTTCAGTTTTCCACTGATTATTATTACTCTTTTAAACAGTGCACATGCTCAGTTAAAGGACAATATAACGATGGTAGCACTCCTGCTCTCCAATAGACGGCATGTCGACATGTGACAGACGGTATATGAAGCACCGTCCAGAAAGATGAGCCACAGGCGGCACAGAAATAGATTTTATGGAGCGACACTTTTGGGACAAAGAGCCTATAAGGTTTCAATACATCCACAGTGACCTAGTTTGGTGAACACGGGGTCAGGTTTGGTAGAGAAAGGGCATCTATACATAAGGAGAAATTAATCAAACGTGCTGCAGAATAATTAACCGCAGCACAAGTTGCATCTGACACAGCAAGAGGACGGAGCTGCCCTCAGCCCGGGGAGCCTATAAATAAGCCGGAGTACCTGTTGAAGCAGAACTCGCAGTAGCAGCCTCTCTCCTTCGCCGACAGCACGTAACAATACGCCGGGCTGGAAAACAGAAGCTCCCCGACTTTAAACGCTCTGGTCACCCGGAGACCTCGGCCCTTCCCCGGGCTGTCGAACCTCTCCAGCCCCTCGATGCTGCCCGTCATCGTGCCTCCTGCCGGGCGTCTCCTGTCGGACTGAGGAGGGGTGGGGATGTGGCCCCGCTGCGCCCGGTGTCGGGGCGTCACCCGAACCAAGAATAGTTCACAGAGGCGTCCACCAACAGCAACTGCAGCGCATGAAAGCACACAGCAGCATCCAGGCATTCATTTAAAAAGTCTGATTACAAGGCAGATGTTGCATTTAGTTGGCAAGGGGAAAAAGATCAACCTCCAAAATATTGCACATTATTTGCCTAACCACAGATAGACTCCAGATCCTTACACCATTTCTTACATTTTGCATTAATTGAAGAGTGTCTGCTAAATGATAATCATATAGTTATATGCAATCTGATGCATGCATAACACTCCTAAGTCTCCTCATGTTCTTATGGTCAGTTTATCCAATATTCACAATTGACCTCTATAAGCATGAGCTTGATATACACTGCATTTTATGTGCATTATTCATCAGTTTATATCTGCTTTTTTTTAAACTTCTGAACTTCCACTCTTGTCTAAATGGGCTTCAGACCTCTTGCATCTCTCTCATGGACATGATCAGGTCTCTGGATTAACAGTCATAGGTTACACTCTGTGGTTTGTTATTGTGCACAAAAAGCTCCTCGTCCCCAAACATCAGGGAAGTTGTCTTTAAACAGTTCAAGTTGTTTACAGAAAAGGATGTAAAATAAATAAATAAACCCTTTCTCATTCTGGAAATGATGTCTAAATCTACTTCTCTGTGTGTTGTGTTGCCTCACTTCCACTGTGAATGTCTGCTGAGTACACTCCAGAACTGGATGCAGGCTGTTCAGCTTGTCTGAGTGCTATATCGAGTTCTGCTTATCAACACATGCTGGCCTCAACAGGCTGTCATGGAGCTGTTGTGATGTTGTCCATCCACTGGGCCTACAGGCATGGTCTCTGTTAGACTAGTCAACAGTTCAGCACAATATAGAAGAATTGTACTTTCAATGACTTATTATTGGGCTGCACGGTGGATCAGTGGATAGCATCGTTGCCTCGTAGCTAGAAGGTCGCCGGTTCGCGACCTGGGATCTTTCTGTGTGGAGTCTCCATGTTCTCCCCGTGCAGCGTGGGTTCTCTCCGGGTTCTCCGGCTTCCTCTCACAGTCCAGAAACATGCTGAGGTTAATTGGTGATTCTAAATTGTCCGTAGGTGTGAATGTGAGTGTGCTTGGTTGTCTGTAGAGGTGCAACGGGTCGGTACAGATGTGTACCGGTACAAATTTATTTTTTTTAAGTCATTTTTTTGTGGCCTTTGTGCCTTTATTTGATAGAGCAGTGAGAGAGAGATGGGAAAGCGGTAATGCTCCTCGTTAAATCAAAGAAGAAGAGAGACAGGACAGTAAGGGAAGGATCTGTGGTAAAGGGTCATGAGCGGGATTCGAACTCATGACCTCCACATCGGGACACCAGCTCAACCAGGTGAGCTATAGCGACTATTAAAAATATCCAATGTACAGAATTGTTTCACTTGTGAAACTTTAACTCTCATGGTGCCCACATGATGGAACTTCTCCGCCTCACACTTGCGCAGTATTGCGGAGCTAAAAACAAGGAGGAGTTTCCAGCGGACCACAGGATGTGACGGACCGTTTATTCTCCTGTCGGCGCTTCATTATCAGCCCGGTCTCTATGGCTAGTGAATGGGATGGCTAATGCTAACAACAACGCTAACAACAACAATAACAACAACAAGCCAGAGCTGGAAGACGCTCCGGTGTCATTAAAATCCCCCGTTTGGGATCAGAAGTCCGAAAAAGGATAAAAACAAGTTGACAAGACGAAGGCCGGATGTCCGCACTGTGGAGCGGTCCTCAGCTGTGCATCCGGCAACACGTCAGACTCACACACTAGTTTGAAAAGGCAGCATGCAAGCGTACCAGCTGGAGCTCTGCCTCCATTCAGTCCTCCCCACCCTCTCCTCAGCACTACATGAGGAAGCTACAGCCAGGCAGCATCACAGGAGTGGGCTGAGCGGAGCTACTGACAGATAAGTTCATTAACCATGACTCAGCATGTCTCCTGGTTCACTTTAACTCTCTTTGCCATGAGTCAGGACGACTGACGCGTGATTCGTCATGCTTTTCATTTACGATGCTAAAGTTGTGCTAACCTAGCTTAAGCTATCCCTGTCTGTTTGTGTTAGCAGTAGCATCGCTGTAGCTATGCTAACCTAGCATAGCGTTAGCTAACAGCTTAAAGCCAGTAAGGAACTGCAGAAATAAGTGTAGAACATATTTATATTTTTATATTTATTTATAACATCACTCCGTCAGCTTTTTATTGATGATATCAGTGTTAATTCAAATGCTAGAGATATGTTCTGATTATCCATGAATCTAACAGTGTAGATCAAATGAATGCAGAAATCACTACATGGTGGAAACGAGCTGCTTGGCGGAGCTGCATAGTACTTCTTTCATTTATTTGAAAAATATGTATTTATTTTTTTATATTTATCACTGAGCTTGGTTGTTTGCAGCAGTGTCTTCCTTTTTTATACTGTAAGTAATTCAGTTCTATTGACAGCAGACCAATAAGCTGGAATTGTACTTTTATTTGTTTTATTTTGTTTATTTGATGTTGACAACGATGCAGCAGTATTTCTGTTACATTACATTGTACATTTAATTAGATTTACTGAGCTGTTAACAGCTTTTTGGTTTAATACAATAAACAAATGTTTTGGATTCATTATGAGCAGATTTATTTTTTTATATTTTTACCCTTAACTGAGAACCAAACCGTGACTTCTGTACCGAGGTATGTACCGAACCGTGAGGTTTGTGTACCGTTACACCCCTCGCTGTCTGTCTCTAAGTGTAGCCCTGTGATAGACTGGTTACCTGTCCAGGTGAACCTGCCTTCACCCTGAGTCAGCTGGGATAGACTCCAGGCCCCCATGACCCTAGTGAGGATTAAGGTGTATAGATAATAGATGGATGGATTATTATTGTCCTCATAAAACATCACAATGAATTATGGACGCTTGTGTCAAGATTTCTTCATGTGTGTTTTTTGTGCCTTTTGTTAGAGAGTCGAGCGACGACAAGAAATGAGGAGGCAGAGAACAGAAAACGACATTGAACCAGAATCCCCGGCCCGACTCACTTCAGGGACTTTGGTAAGCATCCTAAACACTAAACCACGATGGCACACTGGCTTTTTAAAAGGCTTAATGTAGAGAAGTGCAGCATCCACAATGATTTACCTTTTTTAAATGCTTAGANCCCGTGCAGCGTGGGTTCTCTCCAGGTTCTCCGGCTTCCTCCCACAGTCCAGAAACATGTTGAGGTTAATTGGTGATTCTAAATTGTCCGTAGGTATGAATGTGCTTGGTTGTCTGTAGAGGTGTAACCGTTCCGTACAGGCCCTTTCGGTTCTGTGGTATTTATTTTTTTAAGTTTTTTTTTTTTTTTTTGGCCTTTGTGCCTTTATTTGATAGAGTAGTGAGAGAGAGTTGCGATCCGCCGTTAAATCAAAGAAGAAGAAGAGCGACAGGAAAGTGGGGGAAGGACTTGTGGTAAAGGGACATGAGCGGGATTCGAACCCATGACCTCCACATCGGGTCTGTAGCCCTGTACCTGGGACGCCAGCTCAACCAGGTGAGCTAGAACGACTATTAAAAATGACTAATGTACAGAATTATTTCACTTGCGAAACTTTAACTCTCATGCTGCCCACATGATGGACCTTCTCCGGCTCACAGTTGCGCAGTATTGCGGAGCTAAAAACAAGGAGGAGTTTCCAGCGGACCACAGGATGTGACGGACCATTTATTCTCCTGTCGGCGCTTCATTATGAGCCCGGTCTGTATGGCTAGCGAATGGATGGCTAATGCTAACAACAACAACAACAACAACATCAAGCCAGAGCTGGAAGACGCTCCGGTGTCATTAAAATCCCCCGTTTGGGATCACAAGTCCGAAGAAGGATAAAAACAAGTTGACAAGACGAAGGCCGGATGTCCGCACTGTGGAGCGGTCCTCAGCTGTGCATCCGGCAACACGTCAGATTTACACACTCATTTGAAAAGGCAGCATCCAAGCGAAACTACCCGCTGTGCTGGAGCTCTGCCTCCATTCAGTCCTCCCCGCTGTGTTCTCAGCAGTACATGAGGAAGCTACAGCCAGGCAGCATCACAGGAGTGGGCTGAGCGGAGCTACTGACAGATAAGTTCATTAAGCATGACTCTACGTGTCTCCTGGTTCACTTTAACTCTCTTTGTCACGAGTCAGGACGACTGACGCGGCTTCATTCTGTCGGACATGCTTTTCATTTACTTTGCTAAAGTTATGCTAACCTAGCTTAAGCTACTCGCTGTCTGTTTGTGTTAGCAGTAGCATCGCTGTAGCTATGCTAACCTAGCATAGCGTTAGCTAGCAGCTTGAAGCCAGTAAGGAACTGCAGAAAAGAACGTAGAAAATATTTGTGTTTTTATATTTATTTATAACATCACTCCGTCAGCTTGTTATTGATGATATCAATGTTAATTCAAATGCTAGAGCTGTGTTCTGATTATCCATGAACAGTGTAGATCAAATGAATGCAGAAACCACTACATGGTGGAAACGAGCTGCATAACACTGCTTTCATTGATTTGAAAAATCTGTATTTATTTTTTATATTTATCACTGAGCTTGGTTGTTTGCAGCAGTGTCTTCCTTTTTTATACTGTAAGTAGTTCAGTTCTATTGACAGCAGACCAGTAAGCTGGAATTGTACTTTTATTTATTTTATTTTGTTTATTTGATGTTGACAACAATGCAGCAGTGTTTCTGTTACATTATGTTGTACATTTAATTAGATTTACTGAGCTGTTAACAACTTTTTGGTTTAATACAATAAACAAATGTTTAAGTATCGTTAGACCCCTCGTTGTCTGCCCCCAAGTGTAGCCCTGTGATAGACTGGTTACCTGTCCAGGTGAACCTGCCTTCACCCTGAGTCAGCTGGGATAGACTCCAGCCCCCCATGACCCTAG